TAGTGAGTCTATAACATGAGAGAGTGATAGAATAGTGAGTCCATAACATGAGAGAGTGATAGAATAGAGAGTCCATAACATCAGAGAGTGATAGAATAGTGAGTCCATAACATCAGAGGTGATAGAATAGTGAGTCCATAACATGAGAGAGTGATAGAATAGTGAGTCCATAACATGAGAGAGTGATAGAATAGTGAGTCCATAACATGAAGAGTGATAGAAGAGAGAGTCCATAACATGAGAGAGTGATAGAATAGTGAGTCCATAACATGAGAGAGTGATAGAATAGTGAGTCCATAACATGAGAGAGTGATAGAATAGTGAGTCCATAACATGAGAGAGTGATAGAATAGAGAGTCCATAACATGAGAGAGTGATAGAATAGAGAGTCCATAACATGAGAGAGTGATAGAATAGTGAGTCCATAACATGAGAGAGTGATAGAATAGTGAGTCCATAACATGAGAGAGTGATAGAATAGTGAGTCCATAACATGAGAGAGTGATAGAATAGTGAGTCCATAACATGAGAGAGTGATAGAATAGAGAGTCCATAACATCAGAGAGTGATAGAATAGTGAGTCCATAACATCAGAGAGTGATAGAATAGAGAGTCCATAACATGAGAGAGTGATAGAATAGTGAGTCCATAACATGAGAGAGTGATAGAATAGAGAGTCCATAACATGAGAGAGTGATAGAATAGTGAGTCCATAACATGAGAGTGATAGAATAGAGAGTCCATAACATCAGAGAGTGATAGAATAGTGAGTCCATAACATGAGAGAGGGATAGAATAGTGAGTCATACATGAGAGAGAGATAGAATAGTGAGTCCATAACATGAAGAGTGATAGAATAGTGAGTCCATAACATGAGAGAGTGATAGAATAGACAGTCATAACATCAGAGAGTGATAGAATAGTGAGTCCATAACATCAGAGAGTGATAGAATAGAGAGTCCATAACATGAGAGAGTGATAGAATAGTGAGTCCATAACATGAGAGAGTGATAGAATAGAGAGTCCATAACATGAGAGAGTGATAGAATAGTGAGTCCATAACATGAGAGAGTGATAGAATAGAGAGTCCATAACATGAGAGAGTGATAGAATAGAGAGTCCATAACATGAGAGAGTGATAGAATAGTGAGTCCATAACATGAGAGAGTGATAGAATAGTGAGTCCCATAACATGAGAGAGTAATAGAATAGTGAGTCCATAACATCAGAGAGTGATAGAATAGTGAGTCCATAACATGAGAGAGTGATAGAATAGAGAGTCCATAACATGAGAGAGTGATAGAATAGAGAGTCCATAACATCAGAGAGTGATAGCATAGTGAGTCCATAACATGAGAGAGTGATAGAATAGTGAGTCCATAACATGAGAGAGTGATAGAATAGAGAGTCCATAACATGAGAGAGTGATAGAATAGTGAGTCATAACATGAGAGAGTGATAGAATAGAGAGTCCATAACATGAGAGAGTGATAGAATAGAGAGTCCATAACATGAGAGAGTGATAGAATAGTGAGTCCATAACATGAGAGAGTGATAGAATAGTGAGTCCATAACATGAGAGAGTGATAGAATAGTGAGTCCATAACATGAGAGAGTGATAGAATAGTGGAGTCCATAACATGAGAGAGTGATAGAATAGTGAGTCCATAACATGAGAGAGTGATAGAATAGAGAGTCCATAACATCAGAGAGTGATAGAATAGTGAGTCCATAACATCAGAGAGTGATAGAATAGAGAGTCCATAACATGAGAGAGTGATAGAATAGTGAGTCCATAACATGAGAGAGTGATAGAATAGAGAGTCCATAACATGAGAGAGTGATAGAATAGTGAGTCCATAACATGAGAGTGATAGAATAGAGAGTCCATAACATCAGAGAGTGATAGAATAGTGAGTCCATAACATGAGAGAGTGATAGAATAGTGAGTCCATAACATGAGAGAGTGATAGAATAGTGAGTCCATAACATGAGAGAGTGATAGAATAGTGAGTCATAACATGAGAGAGTGATAGAATAGAGAGTCCATAACATCAGAGAGTGATAGAATAGTGAGTCCATAACATCAGAGAGTGATAGAATAGAGAGTCCATAACATGAGAGAGTGATAGAATAGTGAGTCCATAACATGAGAGAGTGATAGAATAGAGAGTCCATAACATGAGAGAGTGATAGAATAGTGAGTCCATAACATGAGAGGAGTGATAGAATAGTGAGTCCATAACATGAGAGAGTGATAGAATAGTGAGTCCATAACATGAGAGAGTGAATAGAATAGTGAGTCGCATAACGTGAGAGAGTGATAGAATAGATAGAGTCCATAACATGAGAGAGTGATAGAATAGTGAGTCCATAACATGAGAGAGTGATAGAATAGTGAGTCCATAACATGAGAGAGTGATAGAATAGTGAGTCCATAACATGAGAGAGTGATAGAATAGTGAGTCCATAACATGAGAGAGTGATAGAATAGTGAGTCCATAACATGAGAGAGTGATAGAATAGTGAGTCCATAACATGAGAGAGTGATAGAATAGTGAGTCCATAACATGAGAGAGGTGATAGAATAGAGAGTCCATAACATGAGAGAGTGATAGAATAGAGAGTCCATAACATGAGAGAGTGATAGAATAGTGAGTCCATAACATGAGAGAGTGATAGAATAGTGAGTCCATAACATGAGAGAGTGATAGAATAGTGAGTCCATAACATGAGAGAGTGATAGAATAGTGAGTCCATAACATGAGAGAGTGATAGAATAGTGAGTCCATAACATGAGAGAGTGAGAGAAGAGTGGGGTCCATAACATGAGAGGTGATAGAATAGTGAGTCCATACATGAGAGAGTGATAGAGAATAGTGAGTCCATAACATGAGAGAGTGATAGAATAGTGAGTCCATAACATGAGAGAGTGATAGAATAGTGATGAGTCCATAACATGAGAGTGATAGAAAGTGAGTCCATAACATGAAGAGTGGATAGAATAGTGAGTCCATAACATGAGAGAGTGATAGAATAGTGAGTCCATAACATGAGAGAGTGATAGAATAGTGAGTCCATAACATGAGAGTGATAGATAGTGAGTCCATAACATGGAGAGTGATAGAATAGTGAGTCCATACATGAGGAGAGTGATAGAATAGTGAGTCCATAACATGGAGAGTGATAGAATAGTGAGTCCATAACATGAGAGGGAGTGATAGAATAGTGGAGTCCATAACTGAGAGAGTGATAGAATAGTGAGTCCATAACATGAGGAGTGGATAGAATAGTGAGTCCATAACATGAGAGAGTGATAGAATAGTGAGTCCATAACATAGAGAGTGATAGAATAGTGAGTCCATAACATGAGAGTGATAGAATAGTGAGTCCATAACATGAGAGAGTGATAGAATAGTGAGTCCATAACATGAGAGTGATAGAATAGTGAGTCCATAACATGAGAGAGTGATAGAATAGTGAGTCCATAACATGAGAGATAGAATAGTGAGTCCATAACATGAGAGAGTGATAGAATAGTGAGTCCATAACATCAGAGAGTGATAGAATAGAGAGTCCATAACATGAGAGTGATAGAATAGTGAGTCCATAACATGAGAGTGATAGAATAGTGAGTCCATAACATGAGAGTGATAGAATAGTGAGTCCATAACATGAGAGAGTGATAGAATAGTGAGTCCATAACATGAGAGAGTGATAGAATAGTGAGTCCATAACATGAGAGTGATAGAATAGTGAGTCCATAACATGAGAGTGATAGAATAGAGAGTCCATAACATGAGAGAGTGATAGAATAGTGAGTCCATAACATGAGAGTGATAGAATAGAGAGTCCATAACATGAGAGTAAATAGTGGTCATACTGAGTGAAGAATAGTGAGTCCATAACATGAGAGAGTGATAGAATAGTGAGTCCATAACATGAGAGAGTGATAGAATAGTGAGTCCATAACATGAGAGAGTGATAGAATAGTGAGTCCATAACATGAGAGAGTGATAGAATAGTGAGTCCATAACATGAGAGTGTGATAGAATAGTGAGTCCATAACATGAGAGAGTGATAGAATAGTGAGTCCATAACATGAGAGTGATAGAATAGTGAGTCCATAACATGAGAGTGATAGAATAGAGAGTCCATAACATCAGAGAGTGATAGAATAGAGAGTCCATAACATGAGAGAGTGATAGAATAGTGAGTCCATAACATGAGAGTGATAGAATAGTGAGTCCATAACATGAGAGAGTGATAGAATAGTGAGTCCATAACATGAGAGAGTGATAGAATAGTGAGTCCATAACATGAGAGAGTGATAGATAGTGAGTCCATAACATGGATGATAGAATAGTGAGTCCATAACATGAGAGAGTGATAGAATAGTGAGTCATAACATGAGAGAGTGATAGAATAGTGAGTCCATAACATGAGAGAGTGATAGAATAGTGAGTCCATAACATGAGAGAGTGATAGAATAGTGAGTCCATAACATGAGAGTGATAGAATAGTGAGTCCATAACATGAGAGAGTGATAGAATAGTGAGTCCATAACATGAGAGAGTGATAGAATAGTGAGTCCATAACATGAGAGAGTGATAGAATAGTGAGTCCATAACATGAGAGTGTGATAGAATAGTGAGTCCATAACATGAGTGATAGAATAGTGAGTCCATAACATGAGAGTGATAGAATAGTGAGTCCATAACATGAGAGAGTGATAGAATAGTGAGTCCATAACATCATGTAAAAATGATAGAACATATGAAAGTCATAGTATATGTAGAATAACATGTGAGTGAAAGTTTATTATGTCAGAACATGAATAAATGAAAAAAAGTCACAGTTTAAAATGACTTAAAAGAAAACTGTGAAAGAAGCAAAGTATATATAATGATAAATATATTTGTATTGAATTTTCCTCCAGTTTTCTCACATACTTTAATATGTTGTTCATGTGATAGAGTATCAATATGTCAGACACTGACCTTGGGGTGGTACGCGTGGCAGGACTCCGGTCTCCTCCTCACCTTCTGGGACTTCATCCTGTTGCACTTCACTGTGGCGTTATGTTCACTGACGTTAGGGAAAACACAACCACGGCATGTACCTGAACTCAGCACACAATACAATGTATTTCAATCTAATTGAATCTAAAAGGACATGAATGTGTCCTGTAGAATCAGACGTCCTTTATTAGTCCACACCGTACAGCATTTTATTTACATTCTGTTTTTACTTTCATTTACTCGACTTAACTTCATTTGCATTTACTTCCATCATTGTCTCTCTGACACCATTCTCTAACAGTGTTTGATTTCAATTTCTTCTTAAGTGTATTGTACGTTTCCCTCTTGAAGGAACCTTGGACTTCAGTATTTATCGGCAAAAAGTGGTGAAAAATGAGGAATTACACAAAGAACACTCATAACGACTATATATCCCCTTTTATCTACAGAGACGACTGTATATTGTTGTTCCCCTGCTGCAGTGCAGTGTGTGTCCAGCAGGGGGCGCTGCAGTGCAGTGTGTGTCCAGCAGGGGGCGCTGCAGTGCAGTGTGTGTCCAGCAGGGGGCGCTGCAGGTGTTGTGTTTGAGGACTAAAGGATATATTTGATCTCTTTGGGCTCCAGCAGGATGGGTCCGTACTGACGGGAGCAGTCGCAGTCCGCCTGAGCCACGACCAGAATCAGATTACTGTCAGGGATCTGCTGCACCACGAACATCCTGAAACATGAGATTAACCAATCAGTAGACACCCTGAAACACAGGCAATTAACCAATCAGTAGACACCCTGAAACATGAGATTAACCAATCAGTAAACACCCTGAAACACACAGTTAACCAATCAGATCGTATAACTAAAAGTCATAATATCGTATAGTAGCTTTTCTATATGTCAAGAAATGTGAAAACCACCCACTATGTACAGTTCAACATGTATGTGTGTGTGTGTGTGTGTGTATGTGTGTGTGTGTGTGTATGTGTGTGTGTGTGTGTGTATGTGTGTGTGTGTGTGTGTGGTGTGTGTGTGTATGTGTGTGTGTATGTGTGTGTGTATGTGTGGTGTATGTGTGTATGTGTGTGTATGTGTATGTGTATGTGTGTGTGTGTGTGTATGTGTGTGTGTGTGTGTCTGTGTATGTGTGTATGTGTGTGTGTGTGTGTGTGTGTGTGTGTGTGTGTCGTACTTCTGGCAGCGTCCACACTTGATCAGGCTGTTTGCCTCTCTGACCGACGAGTCGTACATGAAGCCGGGGTACGCCGTGTCGCAGGGCTGCAGCGCGTCCACCTTCTTCGTCTTGTGACCTGACACACACACACACACACACACACACACACACACACACACTCACACACAATGTGAGAACTTAAGCAAAACAAACTCCTTCTAATTTAGCATCTAGTGAATGAATGACAAACATCACAATGTCTTCACACACATCCCCCCCACACACACACATCCCCCCCCACACACACACACACACACACACACACACACATCCCCACACACACACTGTACTCACTTGTATGATAGCCGGCCTTGGCTGATTGGATGAAGATGGATCACGGTGATGATGGTGATGGTGATGATGATGATGATGATGATGGTGAAGATGATGATGATGATGATGATGATGATGATGATGGTGGTGATGGTGGTGATGATGATGGTGATGATGATGATGATGATGATGATGATGATGATGGTGGTGATGGTGGTGATGATGATGGTGATGATGATGATGGTGGTGATGATGATGGTGAAGATGAGGCGGCCATATTGAAACGGAGTGTTTATAAATGAGACACAGAGCAGTGATGAGGTGATTACTGACTTAAGGACAATTACCAAAATAAAGCTTTCACTTAACTTTGATATTTAAATGTTCTGGTAACCCCCCCCCGCCCCTCTTCTTATTATAAAGAGCCCATGGGTTTCATTAAAGGCGCTAAATAAATCCAAGTCAATATGAATATGTTGTTGTTATTGGTTTTACTGCACCGCACGACTCAGGAGTGATTTGCACATTTAGATGAATGCAGAATATAAGTCGATGTATAAATGATGTATAATAATATACAGAATGTGATATAACCAGCAACAACAATTCATTATATACATTTATGTATTAATGCATAATCCATTCTGCACAAAGAGTACTTTTACTTTAAGTACACATTTGATACTAACAGTTATGTATATTAAATTAAACTTTAAATGAAAGACTTATGTATCTAGATTGCGGTATTTATTAATTCAAGTAAAATATGTGACGCCGCGTGTATAATGTTTAAATGTCTCACCGTCCACAAAGTAGTCAGAATGCCAGAGGCCGCAGAAGTTAAACTCCAGCAGGAACCTGACACACACACACACACACACACACACACACACACACACACACACACACACACACACACACACACACACACACACACACACACACACACACACACACACACACACACACACACACACACACACACACACACACACACACACACACACACACACACACACACACACAGTGAGAACTTAACCAAAACAGACACCTTCTAATGTAGCATCCAGTGAATGAATAACAAACATCAATGTTTTCACACCCACCCACGCACACACACGCGCACACACACATGCACGCGCACACACACATGCACGCACACACATACACGCACATACACTTACTCCCTCCTCACACATACACATGCACGTGCACACACATGCACGCGCACACATGCATGCGCACACACACGCACATACTCCCTCCTCACACACACACACACACACACACACACACACACACACTTTGTTAATTCATATATTTGACTTCCTGGTTCCGCTGACAGACAGATATAAACTCACATGAGAGCGTTGGAGAGGATCCAGCGGAGGATCGCAGCGACAGCGTAGAACGGCTGACGGAGAAACACAAAGATTATTTAAATAAAACTGATCAGTTACCTTGGTTGCTGATTGGCTAATGGTCACACAAGCCAATCAGTTACCTTAGTTGCTGATTGGCTAATGGTCACACAAGCCAATCAGTTACCTTGGTTGCTGATTGGCTAATGGTCACACAAGCCAATCAGTTACCGTAGTTGCTGATTGGCTAATGGTCACACAAGCCAATCAGTTACCTTGGTTGCTGATTGGCTAATGGTCACACAAGCCAATCAGTTACCTTGGTTGCTGATTGGCTAATGGTCACACAAGCCAATCAGTTACCTTGGTTGCTGATTGGCTAATGGTCACACAAGCCAATCAGTTACATTGGTTGCTGATTGGCTAATGGTCACACAAGCCAATCAGTTACCGTAGTTGCTGATTGGCTAATGGTCACACAAGCCAATCAGTTACCGTAGTTGCTGATTGGCTAATGGTCACACAAGCTAATCAGTTACCTTAGTTGCTGATTGGCTAATGGTCACACAAGCCAATCAGTTACCTTGGTTGCTGATTGGCTAATGGTCACACAAGCCAATCAGTTACCTTGGTTGCTGATTGGCTAATGGTCACACAAGCCAATCAGTTACCTTGGTTGCTGATTGGCTAGTGGTCACACAAGCCAATCAGTTACCTTGGTTGCTGATTGGCTAATGGTCACACAAGCCAATCAGTTACCTTGGTTGCTGATTGGCTAATGGTCACACAAGCCAATCAGTTACCTTGGTTGCTGATTGGCTAATGGTCACACAAGCCAATCAGTTACCGTAGTTGCTGATTGGCTAATGGTCACACAAGCCAAAACATCGTTATGACATCATAACGTGTCCAAACTCTGATCAGCTCATCATCTGACAGGTTCGGGTTAGACATGGATCAAAGAGAGAGAGAATCTTTGTTATAATTAAACCCAATAATACATGTTTAAAACTCACGCTGAGCAGAGGCCGGGCGCTGTTGCCGTGGTGATGGCCGCTCCTACACATCGCCTGGTAGTCGAACAACGACACTCTGCAAAAACAAACAAATAAACAAACAAACAAAAACACGTAAAAGCACTTCAGAAACATCTCGTATTTATCTCCAGACATTTGGTGTTTTCATCCATTTAGATTTAAAACATCAATATGAGTTTAAAATACTTCTAATCTATTTTAGACTGAGGTCGTAGAAGTACTCAGAACTTGTACTTGAGTAAAAGTAGAAGTACTCAGATCTTGTACTTGAGTAAAAGTAGAAGTACTCAGATCTTGTTCTTGTAAAAGTAGAAGTACTCAGATCTTGTACTTGAGTAAAAGTAGAAGTACTCAGATCTTGTACTTGAGTAAAAGTAGAAGTACTCAGATCTTGTACTTGTAAAAGTAGAAGTACTCAGATCTTGTACTTGAGTAAAAGTAGAAGTACTCAGGTCTTGTACTTGAGTAAAAGTAGAAGTACTCAGATCTTGTACTTGAGTAAAAGTAGAAGTACTCAGATCTTGTACTTGAGTGAAAGTAGAAGTACTCAGAACTTGTACTTGAGTGAAAGTAGAAGTACTCAGATCTTGTACTTGAGTAAAAGTAGAAGTACTCAGATCTTGTACTTGAGTAAAAGTAGAAGTACTCAGATCTTGTACTTGAGTAAAGTATAAGTACTCAGATCTTGTACTTGAGTAAAAGTAGAAGTACTCAGATCTTGTACTTGAGTAAAAGTAGAAGTACTCAGATCTTGTACTTGAGTGAAAGTAGAAGTACTCAGATCTTGTACTTGAGTAAAAGTAGAAGTACTCAGATCTTGTACTTGAGTAAAAGTAGAAGTACTCAGAACTTGTAGTTGAGTAAAAGTAGAAGTACTCAGATCTTGTACTTGAGTGAAAGTAGAAGTACTCAGGTCTTGTACTTGAGTAAAAGTAGAAATACTCAGATCTTGTACTTGAGTAAAAGTAGAAGTACTCAGAGCTTTTACTTGAGTAAAAGTAGAAGTACTCAGATCTTGTACTTGAGTGAAAGTAGAAGTACTCAGATCTTGTACTTGAGTAAAAGTAGAAGTACTCAGATCTTGTACTTGAGTAAAAGTAGAAGTACTCAGAACTTGAGTAAAAGTAGAAGTACTCAGAACTTGTACTTGAGTAAAAGTAGAAGTACTCAGAACTTGTACTTGAGTAAAAGTAGAAGTACTCAGATCTTGTACTTGAGTAAAAGTAGAAGTACTCAGATATTGTACTTGAGTAAAAGTAGAAGTACTCAGAGCTTGTACTTGAGTAAAAGTAGAAGTACTCAGATCTTGTACTTGAGTAAAAGTAGAAGTACTCAGATCTTGTACTTGAGTAAAAGTAGAAGTACTCAGAGCTTGTACTTGAGTAAAAGTAGAAGTACTCAGATCTTGTACTTGAGTAAAAGTAGAAGTACTCAGATCTTGTACTTGAGTAAAAGTAGAAGTACTCAGAGCTTGTACTTGAGTAAAAGTAGAAGTACTCAGATCTTGTACTTGAGTAAAAGTAGAAGTACTCAGAGCTTGTACTTGAGTAAAAGTAGAAGTACTCAGATCTTGTACTTGAGTAAAAGTAGAAGTACTCAGATCTTGTACTTGAGTAAAAGTAGAAGTACTCAGGTCTTGTACTTGAGTAAAAGTAGAAATACTCAGAGCTTGTACTTGAGTAAAAGTAGAAGTACTCAGAGCTTGTACTTGAGTAAAAGTAGAAGTACTCAGAGCTTGTACTTGAGTAATAGTAGAAGTACTCAGATCTTGTACTTGAGTAAAAGTAGAAGTACTCAGAGCTTGTACTTGAGTAAAAGTAGAAGTACTCAGAGCTTGTACTTGAGTAAAAGTAGAAGTACTCAGGTCTGGTACTTGAGTAAAAGTAGAAGTACTCAGAGCTTGTACTTGAGTAAAAGTAGAAGTACTCAGGTCTGGTACTTGAGTAAAAGTAGAAGTACTCAGGTCTGGTACTTGAGTAAAAGTAGAAGTACTCAGATCTGGTACTTGAGTAAAAGTAGAAGTACTCAGGTCTGGTACTTGAGTAAAAGTAGAAGTACTCAGGTCTGGTACTTGAGTAAAAGTAGAAGTACTCAGATCTTGTACTTGAGTAAAAGTAGAAGTACTCAGATCTTGTGCTTGAGTAAAAGTAGAAGTACTCAGGTCTGGTACTTGAGTAAAAGTAGAAGTACTCAGATCATGTACTTGAGTAAAAGTAGAAGTACTCAGAGCTTGTACTTGAGTCAAAGTGTAAATGTAGTGGAGTAGAAGTAAAACATCAAGTAAAAGTACCTCAATATTATCTTAAGTGCAGAACTTGAGTAAATGTACTTAGTTACTTCACACCACAGAGTCTTCACATCTCTTATCTTCACGTTTATAAACTACATTTATTTTATCCTGTCGTACTTTTTGAACATCCCCATCTTGATCAGCGACGCCATCGTGGACCCGTCCACCTCCCCGAAGAACCGACCCACCTGAGGGACAACAACTTTATTAGTTTGTGACATCAGAGACACAGACAGCAATTCAGTCAGGAACCGAGCATTAATGCTACGTAGCGCTGCGGCTAACATGCACATGAGAGGGCTTCTGTCATTGTTTTGGTTGTAAATGTACAGTTTGTGAGCAGTTTGAATCGGTTACAAATTGTACTAAAAGTGTCAGAATGTCACTCAAAACATTTGAAATACTTTCTGATGACTTGTCGGATGTTTTCTTCATAGTAATTGAAATGTGATTTTTTTTAGCAGGAACCAGCAGTGTGGCATGTTTTTGTGATGAATCAATAATGCGTACACTTAACACTTGTAGTCGTTGTTGTCTGAGCAGGACACAAACAGATGGTTTGAAGTGAGATTTGAAGTCTGGCCCTCGGCTGCAGCACATCTGAATTATTCAGAGCGTTTTGTCTCTTTCTGTCCGGCTGCTCTCACTTTGTCTCCTTCGGTGGATTTTACCCACAATCCTGGGAGCCGGTCAGACTCCTGCCAGACGCTCTGCACGGCTGCTGCCGCTGCTGCATCTTTTCTGAACATTTTCTTATTCTGAATTTCTTTAGGGTATTTTTCTGACTTTTTTACACATAATTTATTTTGCTTTGATTTGGAAAATGTTCCCATAATTCTTTGAAGGTTTTGAAATATTTCTGACAAGTTTTCGCATAATCCTTTCAAGATTATTTTACCACCGTTTTTCACGTAATATTTCTGGTATTTTTTACGTTTTCGACATATTTCAGACCATTTGACAAATATCTTTTCACACATTTTAGGGATTTATTTTCCTATATTAATCTTTAGTCTTAATTCACATATTTTTGAAGATATTTTCACAATCGTTTACAGCATTTTACTGCTGTTAAACATTGTATTTATTGTAACTCCTTTTACATCCTGTTGGCTAGTTAATCTGCATTAATGGACCATATTCTGTACATTTTTCAGACATGGTTTGCATGTTTTTGGAAACATTTTGCATGATATTTTATGAAAATATATTCTAACATATCATTGCACATTTTTGTTGACATATTCCATGTATCTTGAACAATTTCGGAAATGTTTCACTTGATTATTCGAATTATTGTAATACTTTATTGTTCAGTTTGTCACACACATTCAAAATCATCTGCAGACACATGGGGATGAATGACTGTCATTTAAAAAAGTAAATACACCTGAGAAATGTAGTTAGTATAAAGATGCATTAAAGGGCACTTCGTTATAGTATAGTACATTGTTGTGGATAATATTTAGTGTTTCTCAGAGTGACCTGCAGTCTTTCTTCAGACAGGATCTTTGCTTCCTTCTCTCTCTCGCTGCACTTCCTCTCTAGGACACATTTCTTTTAGTCAGCAGTGACTTCATTTATGTCCTGATTAAATATTTACTGTGCCCTGCAAACAATACGAGCTGCACCCCCTCACCAGGGAGGATTCTGGGTGTTTTTCCACTAGAAAAAACTTCCTGCAAAGTCCAGAGCTCAGCAGAACGTGGAGGAAGCACTTTATCATAATATCTGCTTAGTAAGGACCAGCAGACATGCAAACAATGAACAACGAGCTACAGTGAGATATTTACAATCTGCTGTTGAAGCTGTATTTACTGATCACACACGTACTATTAACATTATATATTACATTACATTACATTGCATTTAGCTGACGCTTTTATCCAAAGCGACTTACAATAAGTACATTCGACCAGGAAGACACAACCTTGAAGAAAACAGAATCATATAAGTACATCAGGTTTCATAGAGCTAAAACATTTCAAGTGCTACTCAACTGGCTTTAGGTAAGCCAGTCCTTTATTAGTATAAAAGTGCTTCGTTAATAGTTCTAACGCTCGAAGTGGAGTCGAAAGAGATGAGTTTTCAGTTTGCGCCGGAAGATGTGTAAGCTATCTGCCGTCCTGATGTCAATGGGGAGCTCATTCCACCATCTTGGAGCCAGGACAGCAAACCCACGTGTTTTTGCCGATGGGAACTTGGGTCCCCCTCGCAGCGAGGGCGCAACGAGCCGTTTGGTTGATGCAGAGCGGAGTGCACGCGCTGAGGTGTACGGTTTAACCATGTCCTGGATGTAGGAAGGGCCAGATCCATTCGCAGCATGGTAAGCAAGTACCAGTGTCTTGAAGTGGATTCTAGCAGTTACCGGAAGCCAGTGAAAGGAGCGGAGGAGCGGAGTGGTGTGGGAGAATTTAGGAAGGTTGAAGACCAGACGAGCCGCTGCATTCTGGATGAGCTGCAGAGGTCGGATGGCACATGCAGGTAGACCAGCCAGGAGGGAGTTGCAGTAGTCTAGGCGTGAGATGACGAGAGCCTGGACCAGAACCTGAGTCGCTTTCTGAGTCAGCTGGGGACGTATCCTTCTGATGTTGTAAAGCGTGTATTTGCAGCAACGGGTTGTAGCAGCGATGTTTGCAGTGAAGGACAGGTTGTTATCTAGGGTCACACCCAGATTCCTTGCAGTCTGAGTCGGGGAACAACTGAGGTGCCGATGTTGATTGTTAGGTCAAGAGTGGGACAATCTTTTCCCGGGAGGAAGAGCAGCTCAGTCTTGTCAAGGTTGAGCTTGAGGTGGTGAGCAGACATCCACTGAGAGATGTCAGCTAGACAAGCAGAGATGCGTGCGACGACCTGGGTCTCTGAGCGGGGGAAGGACAGAATTAATTGGGTGTCGTCAGCGTAGCAGTGGTAAGAAAAACCATGCGGGCTAATGACTGATCCGAGCGAGTTTGTGTACAGGGAGAAGAGGAGGGGACCAAGAACAGAGCCCTGAGGGACCCCTGTAGTTAATTGACAAGGGTCGGACTCAGACCCTCTCCAAGTCACCCTGTAGGTGCGGTCTTTCAGGTATGAGGTGAGGAGGGAAAGTGCAGAGCCTGAAACTCCAAGTTCTTGGAGAGTGCGAAGGAGGATCTGATGATTCACCGTGTCGAATGCAGCAGACAGGTCCAACAGGATGATGACAGAGGAGAGGGATGCAGTTTTGGCAGTGTGCAGTTCCTCCGTGACAGCAATGAGAGCAGTTTCTGTGGAGTGACCTGCCTTGAAACCAGACTGGTGCGGATCCAGAAGGTTGTTCTGATTGAGATAACAGGAGAGTTGTTTAAAGACAGCGCGTTCAAGTGATTTAGACAGGAACGGGAGGAGAGAGACAGGCCTGTAGTTTATAACATCAGACGGGTTGAGAGTGGGTTTCTTTAGGAGAGGCTTTACTCTTGCCTCCTTGAGACTGTTTGGAAAGTGACCAGAAGTTAGAGAAGTGTTGATGAAATGGGAGAGAAACGGTAGAATATCAGGAGCGATAGTCTGAAGGAGGTTTGAAGGGATAGGGTCCAGAGGACAGGTGGTAGGGCGGGCAGAGGTAATGAGGGTAAGAACCTCACTTGGAGAGAGAGGGGAAAAGGAGGTAAGTGTGTTGGTGGAAGGAGGGTCTGGTGACCCAGCGGTGAGTAAAGGTGAGTCAGAAAAAGAAGAGCGAATATCATCAACCTTTTTTTCAAAGTGGGTAACAAAGTCGCTTGACAGAAGTGAGGAGGGGGGAGGAGCTTTTGGAGGGTCCAAGAGGGTGGAGAAGATGGAGAATAGTTTTTTTAGGATTGGAATAGGAAGATTGGATCTTATCTTGAAAGAAAGTGCTTTTTGCCTGAGAGATCGAAGCAGAGAAAGAGGAGAGGAGAGCCTGATAGGTTAGGAGGGTCGTCACGGTGTTTGGATTTCCACCATTTCCGCTCTGCTGCCCTAAGGACGGTTCTATTAGCACGCAGTGCATCATTTAGCCAGGGAGCAGGAGGGGACTGACGAGCCTGCCGAGATGTGAGAGGACAGAGAGAGTCCAGAGAGGATGAGAGAGTAGAGAGGAGAGTTTCTGCAGCAGAGTTTGGAGGCAGGAGTTGGAACGAGTCAGAGGAAGGGAGGGCTGAGAGCACCGACGAGGCAAAGCTAGAGGGGGAGAGGGGAGCGAAGGTTACGGCGGACAAGTGCAGGATGAGAAGAGATTAGTTTGTTATGTTTGGAAAGGGATAGAGAGAATGAAATGAAGAAGTGATCGGATGTGTGGAGCGGGTTTACAGAGAGGTTAGAAGTAGCGCAGTTCCTTGAGAATATGAGATCAAGGACATTGCCAGCTTTATGAGTCGGTGGGGACGGAGACAGTGAGAAAGCAAAGGCGGTTAACAGAGATGTTAGTTCGTCTATTTTCCCCGTCTGGAGGTTGAAGTCTCCGAGAAGTACAGCAGGAGGGCCAGTTTCAGGGATAAGTGAGAGGAGATTATCTAATTCCTCCAAGAAGTCCCCCAAGGCATGGAATTCAAAGGTGGAAGGAGTGAAGTTAGGTAGCTTGAAGAGGGAAAAGCTCCATTTGGGAGAGAGCAGGAGACCAGTGCCACCTCCTCTGCCAGTGGGTCTGGGTGTATGGGAGAAGGAATATGCAGTGGCGAGAGCTGCTGGGGTGGATGTGTTGGATGGAGTAATCCAGGTCTCAGTGAGAGCAAGGAAATCCAGAGACTGCAGGGAGGCGTAGCCAGAGATGAAGTCAGCCTTAGGAACAGCTGACTGGCAGTTCCACAGGCCCCCTGAAACTAGATGTTGGATCTCAGTGGAGCATGTGGGATAGATGAGAGCAGGCCGGTTATATCGATTAGGAGATACACGGGGCCAGTGATAATTGCGAGAAGACACATGAACAGGAATGGAGAAATACACATGATTATAGCATGAGGAGCTAGAAAACTAAAGAAAGAGAAATAAGACACCAGCTCAATCAGAGTAGGATTTACCTCCTCTTTGCCTCCCTCGTGACTCCCGTAGGACTCCAATGTCTTTGTCAGTCTTACTCCCGCAGGACTCCAATGTCTTTGTCAGTCTTACTCCCACAGGACTCCAATGTCTTTGTCAGTCTTCGGCTGTCTGACGCTGAAGCTGACGCTCCAGGAAAGAGCTACCCAAAATGGACGCCTGATTGCTCAGTTCTCACAGCTGTAGGGCCACGGCCCTCTAATTAGTTAACTATCTACAGCTGATGGGCGACAATAGACTGGCCGTGCCTATATTAATGCAGGCTTGAGTGCTGAGAGCTGTGAAGCAGGTTTCGCCTGAGCAGATCTGAGATTTAAAATCTCTCAAACGCGATTTAGCCGTTTAAGCTACAATAACAATTTATACAGAGTCGAATAAATGAAACAGAGAAGTCTAATTAAACAAGAATATAACTTACAGTGGTTGCTGCGTCAATAGGTAATGTCGTCACCGGGTCCAGATGCACACAAGTAATCTCACTAAAGATGATCTGTTCTTGTTAGAAGTTACAGTCATTTTAAAAATACTTTATTTGTGCATCTCCCCTCCAGCAGATGCACACAATATATGTATGTCCTGAGACTCACCATGTAATCATCCTAAAGTTGCTGTTTAAGTAGGCCA